CATTTCTTCATATGTCTATTGGCCATCCTTCTTTCTTCTTCAGAGAAGTTTCTCTTTAAGTCTTTAGCTCACTTATTTATTGGGCAGTTGTTTCTTTGAGGATTTGTTATTGGGGGTTTAATTTTTTGAGTTCCAGGTATATTTTAGATATGGGACCTTTGTCCATTGTATGGGTAATGAAGATCTTCTCCCAATCCGTGGGCTTTCTATTGATCTTCCTAGCTATGTGGTCAGGACAATGTTTAATCAAAAAAGGAACATTAGACTTGTAAGATCTCAATTCAAAGCCAGTCTTGGAGAAAAGTCAAAAATCCATCTCCAAAACAATCAGCAAAATGTCAGGCTAGAGGTGTGGCTCAAGTAGAAGAACACCAGCCTAGCAGGGCCTAAAACCCTCAGTTCAAACCTTAGTAATATAAAAAAATTCACTACTATTTTTCTTAGTGTTAAATGCATGAAAATAGCTAAATATAAAACAGAAGATTTTAGAGAACTAATTTTCTAGGCATTTAAAAATGTTGCATTCATTTTAATGAATCTATAATCTAGTTTTTGTTTTGCTATGTCCAATCACTAGGGATACAGACCAAGCTAAGTTTCTGAAGAAATGATCTTAAAGCTGTCATCTAGACAACATCAATTTGTGGACTAGTAGTAGGAAAAGGTAATGAAGAAGTTACTGAAGAAACAAATGTGTGCTTAAACCAAAAGGAAACATGAACTTTTTTCCTTCACAATTGGTAAGTACAATGCTAAGGAAGTACCTAATCATGGATTCTAAACCTCAACAAAACACCCACATGTGCTTTACTGCAAAACACTGCATTGAAATATTTCAGCTCCACTCATGTAAAATATACCTGGGTCAGTTGCTGATACAATGGCACCAAACAGCAGGCAATCTGTAAAGTAAAAATCTCGGGCGAGTTGTCCAGTTACTTTCATCAGCATTACACAGCCATACATTATGGACCTGTTCAATAAACACATTCCTACTTTAGAAAATATCAATGATTAAAGAAGTCTAAAGAATAAAAATATAGAGCTACTACAGCATTCTGCGACTATTCTCAAATTTAATTAAGGGCACTTAAATATGGCTAAAACCTTGGCCTTAACAAAAAGTCAAACAACTTATTACCTATGTGAATAGATTAGACTACAAAAGATCTAAAACACATTCAGGAAAACAATAATACAGAATTCAAAGAGAATTTTAAAATATATAATTTTTAGAATTATAATTTGAAAACTAAAAAGTATTTTAAGCTTCAAAGACTTACCCAATAACAAAACAAGAAATTGCTGTTCCAAGAAAAGCATATGCTAAGATAGACCCAAGGTTCCGGAAAAAATGCCGCTGATTAAAAACAAAAAAAATGTTATATTAGAATATCTCAATAAAGAAAAGATTTTCTATTCTAGTATGCCATGCTAATATTAAATGCATTATTCACAAGAAGAAATCAGTAAGAAAAAGAATTTCTATACAGGTATAAATTTCAGCATCTAAAAACAATGAGAGAAAAGAGGAGAACTTAGGAAGAATGGCCTGTTTTTGAAGTGCAAAATATTACAAAGTCCATGGAAACTTTACAATTTGTTCAAAATACATGAAATACAAAAAACACTTACCCTTTTCAGACTATAACCTGCATAAAATATGATAGGAGGAAGTAATATATTGAAAAACACTTCTGGATCAAAAGTAACCTGTTAAAATAAAGAGAAGACCTGATTATATTATCAAACTATCAAAAGATAAAAAAATTAAATGTTAATCTGGTCAACAGAAAGAACATACTATGTTAACTTAAAATACTTCATATGAAGAGTCTATTATTTGCATGCTTTAGGTACTTGTGCCTGGGTGCTGTTCCCAAGTTTTTTTGCTCAAGGCTAGCTTTCTATTACTTGAGCCATAGCTTCACTTCCAGTTTGGAGGGGATTCATTGGACATGAGTCTCATGACTTTCCTGCTCAGGCAGACTTCAAACCTTAAAGCTCAGTGTCTCAAGTAGCTAGGATTACAGGTGTGAGCCACTAGTGGTTGGCAATGTATTCTTTTTCCTATAAAAAATTTATGTAGGATAGCTAATGTACTATTCTTCAACCACATGACAAGGAAATAGTACCGGAATAATCAACTATAGCCTCGCACTAGAAATTCTATAAAATATTATATATAAAAAAATCTTTAGGGGCTGGGAAGGTGGCTCAGTGGTAGAGCACTTGCCTTGCATGCATGAGGCACTGGGTTCGATTCCTCAGCACCACATAAGCAAAAAGAAAAAAGCCAGAAGTGGCGCTGTGGCTCAAGTGGTAGAGCGCTAGCCTTGAGCTGAAGAGCTGAGGGACAGCGCCCAGGCCCAGAGTTCAGGCCCCACGACCGGACCAAAAGAAAAATCTTTAAAATAACCCCGTAATCCTAGCTCCTCAAGAGGCTGAGATCTGAGGATTGTGATTTGAAGCCAGCCTGGGAAGAAAAGTCCCTGAGACTCTTACATCCAATTAACTCTCTAATAACCAGAAATGGGGCTGTAGCTCAAAGTGGTAGTGCACTAGCCTTGAGGATAAAAGCTCAAGGACAGTACCCAGGCCGTGAGATCAAGCCCCATGATCAGAAAAAAAAATAACAAAAATGAGAAAGTGCATCTCATTGTTGCAATGGATCCACTTGTATCCCTATTTAAACAATTTGTTTTTTCCCTTCCCCTCCACAAATTATACCAACCTCAAATACAGTGAAAGCAGGGGTTATGCCATGGGGGAAGGACATACAAAGCAACGCATATTTTTGCTTTAAACAAATGAGACCCCAAAACTGGCAAAGGAAACAACCTATAGGTGACAACTCTGAAGCTAAATCATATAATGTGGTAAAACTTTCTGTACAACTAGCCCTCATAGCACATTTATTTTAAAGAAAGGATGTCATAAAACAGGTTTTTCTAATTTAATGTGCTATCGTAGTATTATTCACTAGAAGGAATCTGTAAGAGAAAGCATTCTTGTGCAAGCATAAATTTCAGTAGCTGAAAATGATAAGGAGAGTATAGAGAAGAGCAACTTGGAAGAATGGCCTGTTTCTGCTATAATAATGCAGATGTCCCTTCTGTGCATAGTGCTGCAGTAGACTGTGATATAATCTCTAAGAAGATATACACATATGCAAGCTAAAATATAGCTTACTAGAACTATTAAGGAACTGAAAATTTCCCACAAGTGCTGAGAACTCTTGTTCCAAAGTAAACTTTAAGGTCATAGGACATTTAGAAACTATTAAAGGTGGCCAGAAACACAATCAAGTAGCTATAAAAATCTACTTCAGTCAATGTAGAAGATAGGAAATGTGAGGCAAACAGCCAAGGGTGGGCAAAACAATAATTGCACAAAGTGGCACTGAGAAGCTTCATGAGAGAAACTGAGTGGGACACGAGCAAGTGACTCTGGGAATGTCTGAGAGCCAGTGGACTGCAACCCAGTTGCCCACATAAAGCTGTATATACAGCATATTCCAATTGCCAAGGCTCATGCTAAGGCTCCAAAAACTGTTCCAGATTATGAATCAGAGAAAGGTTAAGTGGTGTTCAGAACAGAAACACAATCAAGGCAAGAAATAATTCAAAGAAACATTACTGCAGTAAACCCGATGTGCTGAAGTATTCTAAAATTTTAAGGACCATGTATAAATTGAAAGAAATTCATCTGTATTCTGTTTAACCCCATCCTGATTACCATTTATTACAACAACCACAAACAACAAAGGCAAACAGAAAGAGTTGTAGCACTTAGCTTCAATCAGGAGTATAGAAATGTCATTTGCCTAGAAATATTCATTTCCTTACATTATATTTATGAACAGGTTTGACTCTAATTTTAAGGTTATATTATTTCAAATACTAAACACTGTTCCTTCAGAGTCACTTGTTATAGTTAATACGCTTTTTTAATTTTAAGATTATTTTTTAACTAAAAACTTACTGTTTAGCCTGATGTGGTAGTACATGCCTGTAATCCCAGCACTTGGGAAGTTGAGGCAGCAGGATCACAAATTTGAGAACAACCTGGACTACAAAGCAAGTTTGAGACCAGAATGGGCTACGTAGTAAGACCTTATCTTAAAAGAAAAACTTACCTTTCTAAGCATTTCATTATCTTGAACATTATTGAGTTCATGTGAACTAATCTCTCCTTTCAGCGTGTACTCATAAAATTTTCCACTAACGTTTACCAACAAAGTAGTTGGACTGGACTGCACTTCACAGCTGAGAGTCACATTGTTTACATCACTTGGAACATGAATGCCATACCGAAGTACAAGACCCATCAAAAGACCTAGAAATAAAAGAAAAATATAAATTATTCTTGGTAAACAAAGACTACTTATTTGTACCCAACATATGCCTCAGGATTATTATCAGAAAAATCTCCAATGACAGTCCCTTATAGGTTAGAACAAATTTTTAGACCAAAGGAAGTTATTGTTTAAAATATTACTAAATTGGGGTGCTGGTGGCTCACATCTGTAATCCTAGCTCCTCAGGAGACTGAGATCTGAGGACCAAGGTTCAAAGACAGCCCCAGCAGGAAAGCCCATAAGACTCTTATCACCAGTTAACTATGTCCAAGGAAAAGCCAGAAGTGGAGCTGTGGCTTAAGTGGTGGAGCACTAGCCTTGAGTAAAAAAGCTGAGAGAGCCGGCAGCACGGTGGCTCACACCTATAATCCTAGCTACTCAGGAATCTGAGATCTAAGGATCACGGTTCAAAGCTAGCCCCGGGCAGGAAAGTCCATGAGACTCTAATCTCCAATAAACCACTAGAAAACCGGAAGTGGCACTGTGGCTCAAGTGGTAGAGCGCTGGACTTGAGCTGAAGAGTGCAGGGATAGCACCCAAGCCCAGAGTTTAAGCCTCACGACCGACCAAAAAAAAAAAAAAGACAGAAAAGAAAAAGCTCAGAGACTGTGCTCGGGTCCTGGGTTTAAGCCCCAGAACCTGCACAAAAAATTAATAAATTAACACATTCAAGAGTCCATCTTCGGGGTTGGGAAGGTGGCTCAGTGGTAGAGTGATTGCCTTGCATGCATGAGGCCCTGGGTTCGATTCCTGAGCACCATATAAGCAGAAAAAGCTGGAAATGGCGCTGTGGCTCAAGTGGTAGAGTGCTAGCCTTGAACTGAAGAGCTGAGAGACAGCGCCCAGGCCCAGAGTTCAGGGCCCATGACCGACAAAAAAAAAAAAAAAGAGTCCATCTTCATGTAATCCAGTAGGATAAGAGAGAAAAACAATTAGGTAATCATTGCATTTTGAGATGAACACATTATAAATAAGTGATAGGGAAAGTAACAAAATAAAAACACATCTTTAAATTATCTGTACACAGAATAAACTCCAAGGTATACCAACAGAACAATGTAGTCATGCTAGAAAATGTGATTTTTTTATGGCTGGAAATAATAGAACAAGCAGAAAAGGTCAAAAGCTATGTATATATGACCATGTAAGATGATCCTAAGCGAAATGAACCCCAAGATAGTGACACAAGTGGTTTTATCTTTCTTGCTATTGTTTTTAACGTACTTATAATGTACTATGTGATTTTTTTTGTTTCTTTTGTATGTTCTTCCCCCACAGTATAACTTCATTATATTTAATTACGATGCCCTACATCTTTCTAATTTGGGGAGGGGAAAGAAAATAACAAAATTCTGAAGTAAGGATACAGGTTGACCCATTGTAACAATGAGATATACAAGACACTATGTTGAAAACAAACTTCACCACTTCTATGGGGGGGAGGGAGGAGTTGGGAAGGTATGAAGGGAAGGGATAGTAGGGGAAAAACAAATGAGATGGTAACAATGCTCCATAGGAAATGTACTCATTACCTTACTCATGTAACTGTAACCCCTCTGTACGGTATTTTTACAATAAAAAATATATTAAAAACAATATGGTCCCATGATAGAGTTTTCTTGCAGGACTGCTAAGAGAAAAAGACTAATAGGTTTTTTACCTCCATCCACCATTTCAGTTAAACTTGCTTCCCAAGTTTATTCCAAAAGCACATGATGGTCAAATTATATACAATTTAAATGGAAAGCAAATACATTATTTCAAAATGAATACTTCTACTATTAAAGCATCAGATTTAGAATTATAAATATGTGCATCAAAATAAAAGCAAAATACAAGTCCTGACAGGAGTACTGTTAAATCAACACAGTGGATCTATTGATTTTATTTGGATCCTGTTGATATTCAAATATACAAAATATTCTAGGTTCTATAAAAGTATCAACTTCAACTATTTAATAATGGCACTACTGAGATATAATTCACATAATATACATTTTATTCTTTTTTTACATTTTATTCTTTTAAATTATAAAATTCAGTATATTCATGAAGTTGTGTATCAACCACTACTAGGTCCAGAACATTTTTCCATCACTCCAAAAAGAAACAGAACATTTTCTATTCCACAGTGAAATCTCTAGTTCTTGGCAAGCAATAACCTACTTCTTTTCTCTAGCCATTTGCCTATTCTGGGTATCTCATATAAATGTAGTTCCACCATATGTAGTGCTTTGTATTTAGATTCTTTCACTTATAGTATTTTTAAGGTTTCTCTATGTTGTAGTATATTTCAGAATTTCATTCATTTTTATGGCTAAATAACATTTCATTTTATGATTTGCCTCAACTATAAACTGAACCCAAACTGTTGGAACTTTCCTTATTGCCAAGATGTACAGTGTATGACTACTAGCTCCATTTTACCTTCCTGATCTTTCATTCTGACCATCTAGAGCCATTCTTCTAGTGGAGTACTCACCTGGGTATTTCCTTAGAGTTTAGAGACAAAAACAAAATCCCTCCTTCAAGGAACTCTCAGTCCACTTAGCAAAACAGACTAAATAAGTAATCATACTACAGTATATACATGTACGCAAGGTGTTAAAAAACCAAATAGTACAAATTAGATAAAACCATATACTCCTTACTATATGTGGAAGGCTGGGAAAATTCTTATTCTAGGCATTAATAATAAAAAAAAAAACAGGCTTGGAGTCTATTTTCCAGGCCCCCAAAACAATCAAACAAGAGATTCCCAGCCAAGCCTGATGAAGAGGGATATTAGGTAAACTTTCAGAAAGAATCACTTGAACACCTAATAAAAGGTAGCAAGCCATAGTAGCATTTATCCAGTCAAAAAAGACGGCAAAAATGGCCCATTAAGGAAATCACAGGTAGATCAGTATGACTGCATTATGGGGTGACAAAGAGGTGAAGTCCGGAAGATCTGCAGAAGCTGAAACATGAAAGACTGATTGATGATGAGGAAAGGAATTTGGACTTTATTTCCAAAGCCAAAGGAAGTTTTACAAAGATTCTAAGCAGAAGCTTGACACCAGATTGCTATTTTAGAAGACTAGTGTAGACCATAGGGGGTTTAAATAGCCAGGTAGGAATGACAGCAAGAGAGAATACATTTTAGAAAGTACTGTAGTTTAGAAAGACTGAGTCACTGAGTAGAATAGGCTGGGCAGGGAATAATATGAAAGGCTACCAGGAGCCTTAATGGATTTGGTAACCAAGTGGCTAAGTTGGCTTGAAAAGCAGGGCCATTCAATGAAGTAGGAACACAGAGGAATGCATTTAAAGGGGAAAGGCCAAGTTTTGTTCTGGACATGCTGTTTGATGCACCCGTGTGACACATGCACAGTTGAATGCGTGTGGTCTAGAGTTCAAGGAGGGTGGGAAGTTTCCATTTCAGATTGAGACCAATCATAAGATGGCTAAATTAGGTGCAAATGAGATAACCTAGAAGTAAATAAGATGGTAAAAAGACTACAGGAGGAAAAAACTACAGATACAGACTTGAGGTTTTACCATTAATAGCCAACATTGATGGGCCAATAGAGGATGAAGAACAAATGATTGAATTTAATGAAGAAAAGCCACAGGAGTTGGAAAACAGAAGAACAACTGGTGGCTAAAAATTAAGAGAGAAAAAAATCTGATTCTGTTGAAACCTATCAAATGCTGCCGCAAAGTCAAGCAAGGCAGGCATGACGAGTATCCTGTGAGTTTGGCAACAAAGAGGGAACAATTGACCTTGATAAAAGCACTTTCTGTAGAGTAGCAGGGACAGAAGCTAGACTAGGAGACGGAAGGAAGCAGAAACAAGACTGTAAAAAGCTACAGTGGATGTATAACTAATGCAACCTAATAAAAAATAAAAATAAAGTGATTTTTTAAAGCTATAGTTCTTTAGCCCACTTAATGGGATGGTTGTTTCTTTGAGGATTGTTTTTGGGGGTGGGCTAATTTATTGAGCTCTAAATATATTTTTTATATAAAGCCCTTGTCTTTTTGTATAGCTAGTGAAGAACTTCTACCAATCTGTGGGCTTTCTATTTATCTTGCTAGCTATGTCCTTTGCCATGCAGAAGCTCTGCAGTTTCATGCAATCCCATGTATCCAGCCTTTCTTTGATTTGTTGCATTTCTGGATCTTTATTTAGGAAGTTTCAACCTATGCCAAGGAGCTCTAGTGTATCCCCTATCCCTTCTTGTAATATTTTCAGTGTATCTGCTCTTACCTCAAGGTCTCTGGAGAGGAAATAAGAATGGCCAATAGATATATGAAGAAATGTTCAACATCTTTGGCCATAAAAGAAAGCAAACCAAAACTACATTCCACCTCACCCCAGTTAGAATGGCCATTATCAAAAAAAATAACAACAGATGCTGGCAGGGATGTGGTCAACAGAGAATGCTACTACACTGTTGGTGGGAATGTAAACTATTTCAACAACTCTGGAAAGCAGTATGGAGGATCCTTAAAAGATTAAATATAGAGCTCCCCTATGACCCAGCAATCCCACTCCACGCATTTACCCAAATGACCACAAACAAGGCCACACTAAAGCTACCAGCACAACTATGTTCATTCCAACATTATTTACCATAGCTAAGATAGATTCAGTAGATGAATGGATCAAGAAAACTTGGTACACACATGTACACACACACACACACACACACACACAGAGAAATTCTACGCATCCATTAGGAAGAATATCACCGCCCCATTCATGAGAAATGGAAAAACTGAAAAAATCATACTAAGTGAAATCAGAATCATAGGCTCCATGGTTTCCCTCATCTGTAATAATTAGTATGCCTAGGATATTACTAGCAGAGGTGCACAATAGCCCAATAGTACATATGACCATATAAAATGTTAATCGAAATTATCTACATGATGTGGAAACAAGAGGAATGGGTCTTTTTCTTTTTTTTTATAAGCATACTGTTTGTAGTTA